ACCCCCGGCCGCCGGCCCCGCGGGGAATGAGCTGCGTTAGTGCAGAGGCGCTCCCACTCGAGGTGGCTTTTTGGCATGTTTCTGTCTTGTTTGTGGATGAGGAAGACTTTGCTTTCTGAACCTTGCATTCTCATCCTAAATTAAAGAAGTTCGGAGGTTTCTTGTCTTATAAGATCAGAGGTGCTGTTTTTTAGGAAGCTGTACTTAAGGATCTCAAACTTGTTTTTACCTCCGGAAGTTGATTTTTGTGATGGAAAAGTTCTACAGTATAAAGGAGACCTTTCATGGTTTGACTTGAAAGAGACTTTGTCTTAGAATGTGATCATTTTCCCTTAAAAAGGTGGACCTCTTTCAAGCCCCACGTGAATGATCTTAGGAAGGACGAGGAGGGAAGTGAAGTCCTTTTGCCATGGGAGAGAGGTCTGTCGAGATGCGTTAACTTGCTGAAGGAGGTGTTCTGTAATTCTGGCTTCTCCCTTAACCAAAGCGGCAGCGTGTAACAATGGCGTGTGGATTGACCTAGGCATTGCTGATTAATTTTTCCTCTTTTCCTCCAGGTGATTTTCCTTCATGGATTGGGAGATACGGGGTAGGTACCATTATTTTAGCAACAGTAATAAAGTGGGGGTCATGCAATCCACCCTAAGCGATCAAAGGTTTCACATTTATGAACTCTAAGATTGTATAAAAGAAGATTGCTAGTAGCACTGTATTTCTCACAGCCCAGGAATAAGACACAGTCTTCTCGTTTTTGAAAACCCTCCAAAATTTCCCCCTCATCATCTTGAATGTGTCATTTTTCAACTCTTGTTTTTGGAACATATTAAAATTGCAAACTCCTCCTTGAGTTGCTGTGGGTATTGGGTAGCAGAGAAGGATGGAATATTTGAGCTTTCCAGAGGGTTAACATTTCAGGGCAGGTTGAGAAGAACTGGTTGATTTTGATAAGAGAGACAATAGCAATGTGCAGTCTACAACATTCTGAATGAGAGCTTAGATGTTCCCTTAAGAGAAAAAAAATCAGGTAAAGGGCCAGGGAGGCAACGCAATGATTTATTTGGAGGCTTAGCAAACAAATTTTGCTGTGCTAACTTTAGATAAATGATTTATCTTTCACTGAGGCCTTTTCTACATTGAAAGATTTTGTTTTTAATTTAAACAGTGAAACTTAGGTAAAGTTGTTACAATATTGTAGAATTCACAAAAAACTGAAAATAAATTTTGATAAAGTAGCTAAAACTTAAATCTTTACAGAGAGGTGTTGGGTTAAAATAATTTTTCTTTCTTATTTTTAGATTAAATTTTAAATGTGTATTCTAATCTTTTTAAAAAAATTTATTTTATTTATTTTTCTTTATTGATTAAGGTATTACATATGTGACCTTGTCCCCCACCTCCCCGCTCATACCCTCACTCCCCTAGTGTCTGTGTCCACTGGTTATGCTTATACGCATGCATACCAGTCCTTTGGTTGATCTCTCTCCTTTCCCCCCATCCTCACCTGCCTTCCCTCTGCCTAATATTCTTGTATGTATGCTTACTAAGGAGAGGTAACATGACACATACTTTGTATGGAGTAACAGAAAAGGTTTTAGGACTATGTTCTGGCAACCAGGTAGTCCTATGAAAATGACAGATTTATTTTACTAAAAAGAGGTGTAGAGAATTTTTAAAAAAATTTCTTTTGAAAATATGTCAACTTTTTTTTGGTGTGTATTATTCTCTTTCATTTTTAAGAATATGTTTATTGTTGAGATTATTACAGATGTCCCCCCCTGCCATTGTCCCTCTCCAACTGGTTCCTGTTCCACCAGACCTTCACCACCCATTGTCTGTGTCCATACGTAACATATATCTACACTGATAAAAGAGAAAGATGCAAATTGACTGTACCTTCATGTTGCCCACCGCCAATCAGGAGTGAGTATGCAAATTAACACAACAAAGATGCCAGGTTAATTTGCATATGCAGATGCTGATTGGCCAGAGGCGGGGCGGGACGCAGCCGTTCTGCACCACCCCAGCCGCTCAGGGCTCCTTGGCAGCGTGGGGAGGCAGAAAGGCAGTTCTGGC